CGGCCGAGGCTGCCCTTCCTCGCAGGGACTGGGGCCGGGCAGACACACCAGCTCGGCCCCATTCCTGCTTCCCCAGGACCCTCCGGAGCTGACCGCCTCCCTGCCACAGCCGGCCGCCAGCCACAGGCTGCCCGCTCACCCCTCCCTCTGGACACAGGAGGGCCCGGTGCCGGGCGTCCACCCGCTGGGGTCTGGCTGGTCTCGCCAGTGAGTGGGCTGCAGTGTCAGAGAGGGCAGAGCTGCCGGCCCCTCACATGGAGGGGCGGGCGGGGAAACTGAGGCTGGGCCGCCCTGGCCGCCTCTGCCGACCCACAGGCAGAGCCCGGCGCTTGCTCCTGCATCTGTCCGCGAGCGCCGGAGCCCTGGGCCTCGCGCGGACAGGGCCGCTTTCTGGCCGCCGGTGCTGACTCGCACCTCCCTGGGCACTGGCCGGTCCCAGGCGGCCATCGGGGGTGTGGCCGTCCCCAGGGCCCCTCCCTGAGGCGGTACCAGCCTTGGGCCGCGCCGCCGGACAGCCCAGGCCTCCCGTCCCAGCGCCGCTCCCGCGTCTTCCTCCAGGAGGGTCCCCCACTGGCCTGGCGCTCCGGGCGCGTCCTCCAGAAGCACCTTCCTGCAGGCCACTGTCCCGCGCTGGGCGGTGGGACAAGTGGGAAGGCGTGGGAGCGAGTGTCTGCCCCCAGCAAGGGGGTGCGCGCAGCCGCCTAGATAAAGTGGGGGGCCAGGAAGCAGCTGCAACGACCCCGCTGTTTCCATCCAACCTGGCCAGAAAGCCCAGCCGCAGCTTTCGGGGTGTCCTGGGGTGGGCGGTGGGGCTGGCCTGGTGGAGCGCAGAGGAGGTTGGTGAAGATCCCCTCCCCGCCGCACCTGCCCCGTCACCCCAAAGGGCAGGACACAGACGCTTTGTCTCCGTGTTCTTTTCTCTTTTTTTTAAAGACGCATTTATTTATGGGCACAGAACTGGGGTTCAGGCCAGAGGGGCAGGGGTGAGAGGGCTCCCCAGAGACAGAGTGGGGAGCAGGACAGGCAGATGGACACAGCCCACTGCTGAGGGGAGCAGCGGGGAGACAGGAGGGGTCTGCCGCGCCCTGGGGGTCCCCTCCCTGGCCGGGGATCGAACTCGCGCTGAAGCGGCTGCTTCCGGCTTGCCGTGCTGTGTCCTGACCCACTGCGCCACCAGGGTCCCCCATCCCCGCACTCTTTACCAAGTCAGGACCGGCAGCATGGGAGCGCCCGGCCGGCCCACCTCGGTGTCCACCTGGCTTCGGGGTCCTCCACGCGGAGCCCCGGGGGCAGCAGAGGCTCCCGGGATTCAGGTCCGAGGGAGTAATGACGTCTGCCCCCACTTGTAGTTTTAAACGAGCAATAACGCAGTACAAGAGCGAAACCGTGCGGGAGTCTCCCGGTGAGAGTCGGATCTCTGATCTCGGCCTGGCCAGGCGGGGGCTGGGGAGGGGCAGCGAGCAGAGCCAGGCCTCGGGGGGTCATGCCCTCTGCGCCACGGGCAGGTGGGCCTCGGGAAGAGAACCCGGGGCCGAGGGCGACTCAGCCCAGCCCCTGCAGCCGACGGCTGAGTCGGCTGCCAGCTGCCTCCGTGGCCCCGAGGCCCCGCGATGGACAGAGCCCCAGGCCCTGCGCAGTGACCATCTGAGGCAGCAGGCCCAGCACCCTCTGTGCGGCGCGGGGTGGGGGGGCCCAGCCTCTGCAAGGGCCTCGGCCCCTGGAGAGGCACTGGGTGTCCCAGTCCCAGCTCCCCTAGTGTGCCCGCTCTGATGAAGCCTTGCCATGCCCGGCACCCCGTGTTCTCCCGTAATTACTTGCCAGTGGCACAGGGCCTGCTCTTTGGGGCGGGAGCTGACAGGCCTCGGGCTGGGGCTGGGTTGGGACAGAGGGTCCCACGGCTCTCATCAGGACGGGTTCACTGGCCCGGCACCTCAGAGAGGCCGCAGTAAGTCGCAAAGACACCATGACGCCCTCCTGGGGCGAGACAAGGGGCGGGGGCCGGCCTGAAAGGGCCACTATTTATTCTTTGGAAATCGGAAGAGCTGAGTGTGGAAATGGCTTCCTGCTGCTGTTGCAACCTCATTCTACTTCTTTTTCTTTTTTAAAGGTTTATTTATTGATGCAGACAGAACTGGGGTACAGGCCAGAGGTGCAGGGGGTGAGAGGATTCCCCAGAGACGTAGTGGGGAGCAGGACAGGCAGATGTGTTAGGGGGAAGGGCGTCCTGAAGGAACTTGGGGGAGTCTGGTGGGCCCCGCCCCTGCTCCGGCTTCCTGGACTCC